CTTGCCTTGGCCAGGATCACCCACAAATGGGAGTGGGACCCCAGTTTTCTCTACCAGGTCATAGCACTTCAGGGAAACAATTGCTCATTATTGTTTTTCTCGAAACCCTGAACTTCAAATTTGAAAGTCATCTGCGCTGTGGTCCCCCTCCCAGTTGGCAGATGTAGACAGTTCTGCTATTTCTTTTCTTTAGCTTTTACCCTGATAACCACTCTTAGAAAGAAAAGTTGTGCATTGTGACAGATAAAGAAGCTGGAGTTTAGACAGCGAGAGAGAGAATGTTTTGTAGATAGTAATACCTAAAGTGAGACTCCAAGCTCTTTTCAGTGCCTCTTCAGTACTTTTTCTAAGAACTGAAATGAAATGAAAACGGTGAAATGTCAGGTAATAGAAAAGTTATATTGGACAAGAACTGCATCTCTTCAAGTCTTATCAGTGGATCTAGCACGACATAAGAGGAAAATCTTTGTCTGTGCATCTAGCTGGTCCTAAGCTTACACCATGAAAACATGGCCAAGTCAAGTAATTTTTTTTTAAAATTGAGATCATTGGGATAACATCTTAGCTAATAATAGAGTGATATGCAAATTAACCATCCCTCTGCTACACCTGCAACTAATGCCCACCAGCCAATCAGAGCAAGTATGCAAATTAACCCACCAAAGATGATGGTTAATTTGCATACATGGCAGGAGGGAGGAGTGAAGACTGAAGACAGCATAGAAAGAAGAGGGAGGGAAAGTGGAAAGCAAGGCAGCTGCAGCTGCTGGAGGGAAAGCACTGCCCACCTTGCCCAGCCCCACCATGCCCTGCCTGCCACAGAGGGAAAGGTAGGGGGGGCAGGAGAGGTGGTGGTGGTGGGAGGGAAGCCCGCTAGAAGTCTTGCAGGAATATTTCTGCAACAGGTCCCTGGTTGGTTAATAAAATTATACAGATTTCAGGGATATAATCTTATAACACATCATCTGTATATTGTGTTGTGTGTTCATCATTCTAAGTGAAGTCTTTTCCCATCACCATTTATCTCCCCTTTACCCTCCTCCAACTGGCCTTTCCCTCTGGTAATCACCATCCTGTTATCTGTTTATGAGTTGTTTTTTGTTTCTTTGCTTAATTTCTTCACTCTTTTCACTCACCTCCCAACCTTTTCCCCTCTGATAGCTCAGTCTGTTCTCTGTATTTATGAGTCTGTTTCTGTTTTGTTTGTTCGTTTATTTTGTTAATTAAATTCCACATATACCAGTGAGTGGGCAGTCCTGCTATTTCAAGGCCCCTTGGTCTGTGTGTTTCTTCCCCCATTTCCCCCATTTCCCTGTCTACGTTTGGCCTCTGCAGTGAGCTGTCTGTGGGTGGGAGGATAGGGACAAAATTTCCACACTTCCTCCAGTGAAGGAAAGGTGGGAGTGCGACCCTTTATAGAGATCTCACTTCATAGTGTGTTACCTACATAAGCATTCCTTTCAGGGCGCCAAGATTTATCGCCACGCTTCTGCACATAATTACGATCCAAAGTGCGGCAGGTCCCTTCTCTGCCTCAAGTTGTACTGTGAAAAGTCCTTTCTGTGATTTAATCATTTAGTATATGCCATCCCAGTAAGGGGGTTGGGTGGGAAGAAGAAGTAGTAGTAATTGCTATCGACATGATCAAGCCCCTGTTTTAACTTGTCATCTTTGAAGTTTACCCAGACAAGCCCACCTACCTGTTTCTTCCTTTTGTGAACACAAGGTCGGAATGGCCTGAATCAGGGACAGATAAACGTCCCAGATAATATGTACTCCAATGGCTTTGTGGCCAGATAGTCTCCGTGGCTGTTCTTCATCTGCTAAGGTGGTGCAGTGAAAACCTACCCAGGAGGCCATGGCCAGAGCCCGGGAAAACTTTATTCACAGAAGCTGGCTGAAGTTGGCCTGCGGTTGAAGTTTGCCATCCCTGGTTTATACTGGGAAACTCAATTTTGGTGTTTGAACCAGAGCATCAGAGTCCAGGGATGCTGAAAGATATGGGTTTCTAGGCCTCACCTTCGGAGCTTCCATGAATAGCTTGGAGCAGGGGAATATGTATTTTTAGAAGTTTCTTAATTGATTCTACTGACCAAATTATTAAAACCATGGTTCATTCTGCTTTTAAAATTTATATGTGTGCTGACATACACACAAATGGACACGTGGTTTTATGTGTGTATTTAAAAATAATATTAAAAAATGACACGATTGTGTGCAAACCATTCTGCATGTTGCTTATTTCTTTGCCCTTTTCATGGAGGTGTCTCTCTGTTAGTGACATCCAGGAATGGATATAATAAAGGATTTCATCCATTGTAATCTATGGTACCATTTTTTTTTCTTTCATCATGTTGCTGTCTTTTTATTTCATTTTTGGAGTCTGGTAGATTTTTAAAACGTTTTGATAGAGGAAGATCATTAGTCTGTTCCTTTAAAGGGTGATTTTGCTTCAGGGGCACTGGCAATGTCTGCAGACAATTTTGGTTGTCACAACTGTCATTGTTGAAGGGAGGACGTCTCCTGGCATCTGGCAGGTAGAGATGAAGGACGCTGCTAAACACCCAGGGCAGCCCTCCCACCAAAGAACTATCCAGCCCAAAGGGTCAGGAGTGCCCAGCCTGAGAAATCCTGCTTGGTGGCTTTTTTGTTCCTTGCTTAACAAGGTAACCTCTTCCTATGATACCAATATCTGTATCGATCTCTGTAGTAAAAAGTTCCTGAATTGATTTGCTGATCAGAAGAATTGCTAAGACAGTGGCCCATCCCACTTATTTCTTCAGACCCCACACAAATCCGCCTCAGTTATTTCTCTTCTTTGTTTACATCTTACTGCTCTATAAATGCCACGCATCCCTGCATCCCTCAGTGACCTGAGCAGCCTGGCTCACGTGACGTGCTCCATTTGTGACTGCAGGTCCTCCTGGGTGGCACTGTGTTTGGACTCCGCAGACATGCCTCCGTTTCCCTGACTGACTCTGCCCACGGAGCATGGGTATAAGTGAGGGTGGGGGTGGTCTCAGACTAGTGCTTTGCTTCTCTAGACTTTCTGAAAGCAGTGTCACTGAAACCAGAGTGGCTATCAACAGAGTCTGAAATGCTCTCGGATAGAGGAGGCCCTGGGTGTCCCTTCACTTAATGTGTGGGGAATGTGTGTCAGGTCACTTCTATTGAGGAATTAATCTGATGCAACAAATGCACAACATTGAATAAATGAGCTTGTTGGGTAGCTGTAAGCAGAAAACCATCAACCCTAGGGCTTTCTCTTTTCTCTTTTTTTAATAGCTGAAATTACAAAGTCTTAATCATTCTCCTTCTCCCCCATCATTAGAAGCTAGAAATTATAGCTGAGAAAAGATTGCCTGTAAAATATTGGGTATCCCCAAAGTCAAATCTATTAATTATGACTTTTTTGCCTCATGCATTTTGATGGTTTGGTTATTTCCTGCTTATAGTTCAAAATTAGTGGGATCCAATAGCAGTAGTGACCTCCACACTGGACTTCCACTTTGTGAAATGAGGTGGAGAGCCATGCAAAGTCTGGGAGGAAAGCATTTCAGGAAGAGAGCATAGCAGGTGCAAAGGCCCAGAGGTAGGAATGACCTCGGCATAGTCCAGGGACAGAAAGAAAACAGGGGTGGGGACAGTTCCAGGGAGAAGGAACATACATGGAAAGAGAGGACACCAGGGTATGAAGGTGTCAGATCGGGGAGGGCTTTGTCTACCTGGAAGGAGTTGGGTTTTACTTTGAGATGATGAAGATTTTAGATGTTTAAAATCATTTACAGTTTAAATATTCTCTTCAGATACCACTCCACCTACTCTTTTCTGATATTCTGTGAAGGGATTTCTAAGTGATAGCAGAGAATTGACAATGCAATATTTTTGAACTTCATTTTATTCAATTCAAAATCCCTTAACATTCCTGAAGGAGTTAGTTGGACATTGTTTGATGAGGGTAAGTAGCATAGTGAGAAGCCGTTTTTCCATGCAGAATTATGCATGAACCATTTCTATAGGAGAAACTGGGGTTTCATTCTCTGTGGATTTTCCTGAGTTCTATTTTGTGATCAGCCCCGAGAAGCCAGGGGGCATCAGATAGAGTCTCACTTTCGGTCATCACAGAGGCAAATGCTAATGGAATGAGTGTGGAGAACACTTCTGAACCTTGGAGGGTCTCCAGAGAAACGCTGTTTCATTTCTCATTGCTCTGTAGCATCACCAGGTAATAACAAGTGGCCATTCAGAGGGCAGCAAAGGACTCTGGATAAACAAGTAGAGCAGGAACACAACTTAAAGACATGCAAGTGAATTTTATCTTCTGTATCCAGCAGGGTTACATTTCTCTGCAATCCCCATCCAAAGTGATGAGCTAGGAGCTCCTATAAGATTCTGCTTAATGTGCTTCACCACCATGCTCTCTACTGGCTTGCAATTGTCAGGCACACTCATCATTTTGGAAGCCTGTAATTAAAAAAAAAACAGCATCTTAAAAAGCTCTGTTCATCAGGTAGGAAACTGGGAGACCGAGGTAAGCGCATCTTCAGGAGAAGAGACACTAGGCATGAGGCAGTCTTGTGATGGTCCAGGATGTGCAAAAGGAGAGTTCACTTTAGATCTCTACTTTCATTTGTCATGACACGCAGGTATAAGCATCGAAGTTGTCATTTTCTTAATAAGCCTCAATTTTAACTATTTTTGCCTTAGAAAGTTTCTCTAAATGGCGTGTTCCTGAATTCAATGTTGCATAGGGCCTTGGTTTGGGAGGCTCTTCCCCAATCATGTATCCATCCTTGGGGGAGGCCTGTTACCTGTGGAAAGGCTAATGTTGGGGTGACCTTGGGAGGCTGCCCGCAACAACACAAGTCGTTAAGGACATGCATTCCCCAGGAATAGCGTTTCCACGGGAGCAGCAGCTCTGAGACACCGAGCTAATTTCCCAGCAATGGCACCACTTTTCTTACGAGGGAGTAATTGACCCATTTATGGTCTTATTTCAGATTGTGGCAGATCCCTGTACCAGCAACCCTTGTCACCATGGCAACTGCAGCAGCAGCAGCGGTGGCTACCTCTGCATTTGCACGGAAGGCTATGAAGGTCCACACTGTGAGCAGGCACCTCCCAGCCTCCAGGCCTCCGGCTGGACTGAGTCCATGGCACCTAGACAGCTGGAGCCAGTCGCGGCTACCCAGGAGCCTGATGCCATCCTGCCCCGCTCTCAGGCAACCGTGACCCTGCCCACATGGCAACCGAAAACAGGGCAGAAAGTTGTAGAAATGAAATGGGATCAAGTGGAGGTGAGAATGTTTTGTTACATACATTTTTACATAAGACATTAGTAAGGTTGAACTAATTCCCATAGTTCTAATTACACAACAAAAACTGGAAAAACCTTTAAGTTGCCCAGTGAACAAAACAATGTGCCCAATCTTAGTCCCAACTGCGCTTGTTTGGAAAATCTCTCTTGGTTACAGAGATGAAACATTTGGATTGTGATTGTTTTGTGCGCTTCAAAGGAGGAATCAAGAAAAGAAAAGGAACGTAATTATTCTGGGGACCAAAATCCGTATACATTTCTGTGAGACAATCTTATTTTGGGGCAAATGGCCAATGAAGAGTCATAAACATGAATGCAACCAAGACCCGCCTTTACTGATCTAATTTTCCTCGTGGAATTGTAATTGGTCACTATTTTCTTGGTTTGCTTGTTATTGTTTGGGTTCTATTTTTGGTGACTTGCAGCTCTTCAATGGGATTTAGAGAAGAAAAAGCTACCATAGATTTAAAATATTTTGAGAATGCATTTGAAAATAAAATTCGCAAATTTTATTTAGTTTGGCAATAGAGAATTCTATTTACTAAATATTGGCCAACCTAGGTTTGGCTTATTGTATTTTCAAGTTCATCAAAAGTCTCACTATATAAAATATAAAATGTTCAGCATACCTCTAAAAGTTGACATAAAATATAAATTTGCAAGCTGGAAGAATTTGGGAACTAGTCAAAATCATGAATTTGAGGCGACAATGACAGTGTAATTTCATTCCATATTTTATACTTTATATGACATCCATATAGATTTGTGTGGGGTGGTGTTTTATTACAGGTTTTGTAGATTAAATGAAAACAACAACAACAATACATAGATCTCTGTGTAGCACTTTTAGGGTGAAGGAGTGTGTCTAGAAACTTTCCTTTTTTATAAAAGAGGAAAGGCACCATTTCTTCGTTCATTTTCGTAGGTAATTATAACCAGCTGACCCACTTTTTTTCATTGCCACGCAATTTATGAAGGCCACATTCAGACTGCAGGGCAGTGCTCTTCGCCTACCTAAAAAAATGGTGGACTTGTTCCGATTTTAGTCTTTTATTAAATGCTCTGAAGTTATTTCAATACTTCTTTGCTGAATGACTCACTTCTTGAATGTGAAGTAGATTTGGATTCACATTTATGAGGAAGTGCCCTTTAATGAACATTTCTTTCCAACTGGCTATTTCAATCTATTTATTTAACGACATACTGTCCGACAGCTGGTAAATGTGAAAAAGAAACTCCTCGTCTTCCTGTCCTGCGGTTATTTCTTAGGCTGTTCGAGAAGCAGGTTCAAAGTGCTAGAGGAAGACGCTTCCCTTTTTCGTGAAGGGATGATGCTTTGGGAACCCAAGGCTATTTGAAGCCCCAGGGAGCGAAAATGTATGGAACAGTTGTCTGTTACACAAATTTAACACGTTGGATTCACGTCTTTGAATATGCATGGTGGATTTTTTGGGTAGCATTCGAGTATCCAGCCTTCTGGACAGTAAGTTCTAAGTATTGATTGGGGTGAAAATATGGAGAATTTCTGTGTTGTTCTCAGTTAATTCAGTGATGAGGGGTACTTTTAATACCCTTTTATTTTGACTATCATGAAGGAAGTCAGTGATCGTGGTATGAGGAACAATAAATGAATGAATTTGTCAGAAGCATCTCAGTGGACACAGCGTAAGTGTTCACAATATGCTTTCTGAAGAGCACATTCTCCCTTTCCCTCCCTCCACCAGCTCATTTTCCACATCCATCAGTATAACACTTTTGGGAATATTATTATTTAAAAAATGAAGACCTAGTCCAGAGGGGGAAAAGGGCAGCTCCTCAGTTACCTGGCCTTATTGTGGGCTCCTGAGACCCATCTCCACACAGAGCAGAGTCATCCAGACTAGATTCTTCTTGCCTATAGTTCATTTAAGGGCGCACTCTCCTAGTGGTGAAGGTTTATACCATTGTGTGTAAGCTGATCCTTAATGGCCACCTCCTTGTTCTCTAAGCTTTTAGTCCCTCGGGAACCCCCAGACTGAACCTAGAGCAGAGGCCAGTGACTCTTGTTAAATAAAAGAACTCCTCCCTGGGATATCTTATTATCCGTTTTCCCAATCCCCGCAATGAGTAGACTGTTTCCAGGAAAACTCAAGGGGCAAAGCTTGCATTTTCTCTTGAGTTGGTAAGGTTTCACTTGTCCTTTCTCTGTCCCCAGGCCAGCAGCACCACAAGGAGTGGAGGAATGCATCTCATGGAATTTTGCTTTATAGTATTGTCTCGTGCTGTGAGCCCCAACCTTTTTGTTCTTTTCCCCAGGTGATCCCCGATATTGCCTGTGGGAATGCCAGTTCCAACAGCTCTGCGGGTGGCCGGCTGGTGTCCTTTGAAGTGCCACAGAACGCCTCAGTCAAGTAAGAAAATTCTCAGCGGAAAAACTGTTAAGACTGACGCTGGCTGTGAGGCTGTGTCTCTCCATGTAACTGGTCTGTGAGAATCATACATGGAGATTCATGTGTAGATGTGGTCAATGTCCCTCAAAACCTCGAGGTGCTGTTTGTTACAGGGAAGACGGTAGAGTGATTACATAAGGTTCATGGCCAGACTCTTCACTTCACAGATGATTTTAGCTTCCAAAATTCTTTGGTCTTTTAAGATTTTTACAGACTATTGGTTCAATTCGTATGCATAATTTACTCCAAATTTAAAATCTAAACATTATAGCTGAAACTGGTTTGGCTCAGTGGTCAGAGCATTGGCCTGCGGACTGAAAGGTCCCAGGTTCAATTCCGGTCAGGGGCATGTACCTTGGTTGCGGGCACATCCCCAGTAGGGAGTGTGCAAGAGGCAGCTGATCGATGATTCTCTCTCATCGATATTTCTAACTTTCTATCCCTCTCTCTTCCTCTCTGTAAAAAAAATCAATTAAAAATATTTTAAAAATATAAACATTATAATATTCTCTTTAAAAACAAACACCCCAGAAGAGAGCATCTTGTTTTGTTTTAAACTTGAGCTCTTTCTGATTACGTGCTGCCCACTGTCACTGGTGGGGGTGTGTGGGGGACCAGCTTGGCTGAATACCTGTAGTGTGCCAGATGCTGTGCTTGCTTGGGGTTAACCAGGTTAGAGCGTCCGGTCCTGGCTGACAATTCCTGCTCCCTGACTTTCTCTGTTGCTATTAACTACCACCCCTCTCTACCCCACCACCCCCATGCAACCAATGAGCTTTTACTGTCCAGTCTCCAGGGACTTTAGAAGTGGGAAGGACCCATGGCCCTGTAACCAGCGTGCTGCATTGGCTCCCTTTTAAGGGAGCAGCGGGCATGCTCACCTTTTCCATTTACCCAGGTGCTCTGCTCACCTTCCCTTCCCTACAGTAGTTCCTGAGAACTGCTTGGAAGAGGGGCTTTGTTACATTGCCCTGCACCCCCTCCCCCCAGCCTTGACTTAGTCTGGTCCGGAAGGAGAGGGGAAGAGCCAGGGAAGGGCAGTGGACTCTGAAGTCCCCTGAGCGGGGGAAAGGTGTGGCGTCTGAGGCAGCTTTGAGTTCTACCAGCAGGGGGACCCCGGTCCTAAGCGTTTCATTGCTTTTAATACAGAGGAAACCCTCATGGGCCTGAGCTGGTTTTAGGAAAAGAAGGTTCATTAATTTATGAAACCATCTTTAACAACGTTTTTCAACTTTTGAAATCTTTCGGCACATATAAACTAATTACTAACAATCTTCAGCACACCAACAAATTATATATATATTTTTTGTCAATTGGACAAAAAAATAAAAAAGGTATAATTTGGATTCACTCACACTGGATGGCTATTGTGTTGACTGTTGTCACTCTTTTACTTGACAATCTAAGGGAAAAAAGGTCAGTGCCCCTGACTGAATAGTCAGGTACTGCATTTTTCAAAAACTCTTGCAGCATGCTGGTTGAAAACCGCTGGTCTAGGTCATATTATCTTACTTTCATAAACCTTTTTGATCAGTTCTAATTTTCTCTCCCTTTAAATGCTTCTCCTCCTCCCCTCCAATAAACCAAGACTCTCTTAGGCTGCAGAGCTGGGCAGAATAGCAGAATCTGACCCAGGCTGACTGGTCTCGGCACCTTGAATGCTCTTATGAGACCTTGCACTTGGCGTTACTCATGACTTCAGTCATTAGTCAGCCCTTTCCTGAGCACTCTGCTGCGAGCCCAGGCTCTGTGCTGGGAAGGGGCAGCTCTTCTCCCCCAGGGAGAAACCCAAGGAAGGAAAAGTGGCGGGAAGGTGGTCAGAGAAGGTCTCAGAGAAGAAGGGATGTGGGGGCTAAGCCTTGAAGGTGACTCACCTCCCAGGTGGAGGAGGTGAAGACTGGGTGCGGGGCCAGAACCCTCTTTGGGGAAGAGACAGTTGTCCGATCCCTGGATTGCAAGGAAGGAGGTGACGGATTTGAGAGGAAAAATGAGGCTGAGGTTGATCAGCATCCATGGCATCTCATTCTTTGGGTTTTATCCTGAAAACAAGAAAAAGCCAGGGAAGATGTGAAGCATGTGAAGTACACACTTTTGCTCATTTTGATGGCACACCTCATGTGGTTGTTGGGGATGCATTATACTTTTGAAATAAATTCCAGCAGGAACCTTAATATTGTGTGGAAATGGAAGGCGTTGTCTCTAAAAAGAACTCAATATACCTCTTTATTATTGATGAAAACTGTGCCCCAAAGGTGTTATCTGTTAGTGATTTTGTGGTCTATTTTTGATCAAGCAGGAGACAGAGATTTCTAACAGCGTGGGGAATGACAGCCATGGGTGGGCTCAAAGTGGGAGCTTGTTTATAAGATCATTCCATCCATTTCCCCATACCTCTGTGGATGCACACGTTGTTTCTATGTTTATTTTTAATTTGATGAACTGTTTCTATGGTGAAATTTTCTGGATGGGACTTCCCATTTACACCCCTCCTGTTTTCAGAATTCGGCAAGATGCTACTGCCTCGCTGATTTTGCTGTGGAAGGTCACGGCCACGGGGTTTCAGCAGTGCTCCCTCATAGACGGCCGGAGCGTGACCCTCCTCCAGGCTCCCGGGGGCCTGGTCCTCTTGGAGGAGATGCTTGCCTTGGGGCCCAACCACTTCATCGGTGAGTTATGGAAATCTCCCACCCAACATCATGCCTGTTTGGTGTGTAGAGACTGTGTGTAAAGAATTTTCCAGGGTAATCTGTATTCTAGCCATCAACACTGTCCCTTTCATTGTAGTTGAGGTTCCGCTTCTAATCGAAATTGCTTTTGAAGGTAATATTTCCAAGGTGGCTCAATGTGGGGGGTGCATTGGCCCTGGATTTCTGGGACTATATCCCAGCTCTGGCCAAAGTGTCTCAGGGGTGTGAGCCTAGGTGCTCATGCTCCAAATATCAGAGTCTGATCCCCAGTTCTTTGTTGGCTTTCTCCAAGGATCGTGGGCAACTGGAGGCATTGAGTTCATTTGCTAAAAGCAAATTTCCTGGGGGAAATGTATTTTTGAAATGTGTTGTTCCTTAGGGGAAAATTTTTAAAAATGTACTTTGCTATAGTAATAATAATCACTAAATTACACTACATTCTCAAAAATTACACTTTAGGTTAAGATGCGAAGACAATGATTCTGAGTAACAACCTTTATTTCTCTAACCCATTATTTTCCATTTTGCAAGTTTGTGATCTGGTACCTTTTCCATCTGAGTGTTTGATGTGGCTTGGATGGAGCTCACAGTCTGTAGTGTGACTCTCTTTAAAGGTAGCAGACAGTGTGCACGGCTCCTTCCGAGGCAGAGCAGCCAGGTTTCTCACAGTGGCAAATTGCCTCACACCCACACGGGGCCAGCTGCTGCTTCTTACAGAATCTTTTCATCTTAAAGAAACAAGATTTATCTTTTGTAATCATTGTAGAAGCCCCGTGCTCACTACATTGACATGTGTTTAATGCTTTTTCTGTTTAACTTTTTTTATTTTTTTATAAAGCAGCTTCTTAAAATAATTCATTTTTACAACACGGGCCTCTGTAACATGAATGCATTTTAGTGAAGAACTAAAAGACTACTTTGAAGAGGACAAAGGCATTCATCTGACAGATGAACAATCGATGTGAGGGCAGGTGGGAGAAAGCTTCCACGCCACAGGGGATGCCCCAGCATTGTGTTGCTGTGTTCAGTCACTACTGCTCCTTTTTGGGAATAACTGGGAACTCACTTTCAGGAACAACTCTCCCCAACACCTTACTGTCAATAGATTCCGTGTACATACCTGAAGACCAAAGTATTTTAAAGTTTCTGTGCAACAGAGCAGAGGAGTGGCTTCTTTTTTCTGTGCCTCAGTCATCCATGTCAACTCTTCTGCTGTCTCCTTAATTTGTCCTTCTTTTTCCTAAATCGGTCTTTTCCAGATATGTCATTTGCTCTATGCAGTGTTTTGGGGTAAATAAGGAAATTAATCTTTGTTTAGCATTGTCTGCTCCATGGGAGGCATCCTAGGTGCTTGTTAGCTCTCTGAGTGACTCAGTGGCTCAATAGTTTGTATTTTCAAACAGTCCTGATGCCTTTCCATGAAACATAGCTGTAGCCTGATGTCTTGGTAAAGTAAATTAAAAAAAATAAAATATATATATATATATTATTGATTTTGTACAGAAAGAAAGGGAGAGAGATAGAGAGTTAGAAATATCGATGAGACAGAGTCATCGATCAGCTGCCTCTTGCACACCCCACACTGGGGATATGCCCGCAACCAAGGTACATGCCCTTGACCGGAATCGAGCCCGGGACCCTTCAGTCCCCAAGCCGACGCTCTATCCACTGAGCCAAACCGGTCTTGGCGGTAAAGTAAATTTTTAAAAATCCTGTGATTGCTTGGGAGCACTGCTATGATAGATGATCTTGGGGGGTGAAGAAAAAACCAGCCCTCCGGTGTTTGGCCTCTGTGTTAGAAGCTGTTGGAGGTCCCCATTTCCTTGGGGTAAAGGCTCCATTGGAGTCTTCCAGATCTTATTTCATTTTGTCACCTGCCCTTAGGCATATTTTCCCTCACATCTACCTGCTGCGCCTCTGCTCTGTCACCTGCTGCCTGTCCCATCCCAACCTGGACCCTCACCCTGCCTCACTCCATCCTTCCCATGCCTTTGACCCCCAAATTGATTCCTATTCAACACGTCAGTGAACTCTCTGCATTTGGAGTGGTTTTTGAGGAAAATTGCCAGCCAAAGATGCTACCTTACATGGATTCTCAGCTATCCTTAAATTCTTATAAGTTTTTATAAAAACACACAGATGACCCCAGAACATTCTCATGGCTGGTTCTCCATTCCATCAGCAAACCCAAGTGGGGATGTCTGCTTTACCCACACTGCCCACCTACCTACTTGTTCAGAAATGTTCCACTTTCCCTTCACACTTTTCTCTTTTATGGTCTGTATTGGTTGCTACCTCAGTCTGATATTTTATCTCTTTCCTCTTCTTTGAAATGGTTTTTACTGTGATCTGGCCTGTTCCTCTCTCCCTCAATTTTTCATGGTCTAGCTGCTCATATCTGTCTGTTTCTCTTCCCTTATCTTGTCCTCTTGCTCACAACCCACTGTTTTATCTTACTTTCATGTACCATTTTTTTCTCTTATAGTTTTTAGTACACTTTTATGTCTCATTTATATCGTAAAAGTAAGTGCATTTTTATGTGTAGTCGAGACCAGTTGCTTCATTTAAGACCCACTAAAACGGCTCTAATACCTTAGATTGAAAGAGTGAGTGGTATAACCCACAGCCCACAAGGACGTCCTTTAGGACCTGGGATCACTTCTTCAGGATCATAGCTTCTAAATTAGCCACTGACCTAGTCCAGGAATCAGTGACCTAGTCCAGGTCTTTGTATCTGTCTTACCTGGATTAGAGATGTCCCTAGTCTGTGCATGCCTCTTAGATGCCTCCAGGGAGCTGCTGAGCGCTTGAAATTTCTTTGATTCTAAGTTGTTAGTTTAAAAAGATTCTTGTCATGCAAAATAGTTTATAAGCAGTGCATTCTCTTTATTTTCTTCTCTTAAGAAGCAGGGAAGAATAAGACATGGTACTTCAGCAGGTACAATGAAGGGAAGAGTTTCCTTTCCTTGAGGTAATAAGACTGAGCTGGTGTATATCTTCATGACACCCCCAGGACCTCTGCTTTGGACCATGGCCAGCTTTTGCATACTGACGCCAGCCTGGAGTGGGGCCATATTGTCCCTGCCTCTGAAAACTGGTGGTCGGGATTGCTGGTCACCCTTCCTAGATGCTCACCCAACCTTGGCCCTGCAGGTTTCCTGTTTGTTCTTCTCTGCATGGCTGGCATCATTTCCCCCAGCTCTGGCTCCTTCTTTGTCTTCCGAGTCTTCTATAAACCTTTGCTTTACTAGCTGTGTTAGCTACACTTCTCCCTGATAACACATTTTCAGCCAGCATCACACAACTTAGCATCCGAATGTTCCCTATGTTCTTTTATTTATTTATTTATCTGTTTATTTATTTATTTGGTGTGCTGATTTTACAACTTTAATTAAACTGAAAGATTTGAGAGTAGCGACCATATCACAGGTCCTTGTTCCATGATGGCCACATGATAGTTACCCAAGTCATTAAATTCTGTTCATAAGTAACGGTTACCTGCTCAGTAAATGCCATGTGAAGAAAATTGCCAGCTGCAAATGTCAATCTTTAGAATTCTTTGTAGAGTTTCACAACCCACCTCTGTGACATTTAAACTTTCTTCCCTTTTATTACATTAAAAGTATTTTAGAGGGTCAAATTAAAAAAAAGACAAAAAAAAAAAAAAGGAAAGTTTTCATCATTCTTTTGGGAATGCTACATTTTGCATTTTGTCCTTTAAGATATCTTACTCAGAGGTCAGGAGTAAAATAGTCAAAGAAAGTTTGGAATTGCTACCAGCTATAGAAATATTAACATCTTTGCCAAAAGCTTAAGCTTGAACAAAAAATGCAAATATTTCACCTTTGCTGATCATCTAAAACCACAGTTGAAAATGGGGTATTGAACTCCTTGCAACAGAGGAAACAAGACTTGGAAATGTTCAAATAAAAAGTAATAGTTGGGAGAGAACAAAAACAGAGGAAGGATAAGGCTGCCCTGAACAGCATAATGTACCGTATTTTCTGGTGTATAAGACGACCCCCCTAATTTTACAGTTAAAACATAGGTTTAGGCCTATATTCGCTGTATAAAACTCCCCCCACTTCCGAGGCAACACCAGTTCTTTTTTTAATAGACCGCCTCTCTGACTCTGGCCAATCTGAGCAGGCTTTTTTTTTAAGTTTCAAAAGTCGTCTTATACGCTGGAAAATACGGTAGATAACACTCTTATAGCTCACATTTCCCTAGTAGGAAGATTTCTATTAAATTAAATTTTACTTAAATTGAAACCACATTTCTATATTATTAGCAATCAGAATCATTCTTCTTGGGATCTTTTATTAATGGTAATGTATATTAGAATTTTAAAATTAGTTTGCCTTGAACTTCACAATTTTGCTCCTGTCTTTCTAAATATTGTCATTGTCAGCATTACTTATTTATTGGTTCCTTTTAATTGTGGTGATAAATTAAGCATTGATAAGAAAGATGGATTCCAATACAGACACACATGGTCCCTATAGTTGACAGTCTAAACTGAGCAGGGTCTCACTGAGTGTCGGTTGCTCAGGCTGCGATGGAGTTGGGGCAGATGATCCAAGATGAATGACACGTTTCTCCTACCCTTCAAGATAGTCCTTGGAATTAGGCTTCGTAGAAAGGCGGGCTGCTGGTCTATCAGATCAAGCAAATCTTTTACAAGCTACTCAGTTCATTCTTTCACACACCATAATTTGTGCAAATCCTAGGAACAAATAATCAATAGTAGTTGTCGATTAGTTCTTTAGAAGTAAAGGTCAACCTCTTTAGAATAAAATTAGTCGGCATCCATATGTGTAAGTTACTAAAGTGCTTCTATATAGTTGGACACCAGTTTCATAATTTAAGAGAACGAAATTCTGGGAGAAATTGTGCCTGATTCATTGGTTGGAGGAGTTTGCTTGGTTTTTGAGAAGCAAACTCCAGGTATGTCTTTATAATTATAAGTTCTCCTCTCT